AACTCTCCAGCCCCAGTGCTAGAATTTTACTATTTTACTTTGGGAGGAAATTAAAACATACATTCAACATGTTGTAAACAATTGTTCATTACAGGATCATTCATAATAGGCAAAGTAGTAATAAACAAATGTTCATGAAATAATGAATTGTAAAATAAGTTTGGTTTTGTTTCTTATTACTTCCCTGAGTTCTCAAACGAAATTTGTTTTTTCCTCTTGCAAGTGAATTATTGTTCAGCAATGTAAAAGAATGAAGAACTGAAGCATTTAAATAGGCTAAGTCAAAGAACCAATGATAAAAGATTAAATAGTATATTACCCCTTTTACGTAAATGTCATTATATGTACATCTAGATACAGAAAGTACTTTAGTGGTTGCCTAGAGCTAGATAGTTTGGAAACAAATAGAGAGTGGCTGCTAATGGGTATAATGTTTGTTTAGAGGGTGATAAGTTTTTTTTTAATTGCATTCTGCTGGTGCAAGTATACCTGTGATTACAAAGTATACAAAAAAAATTACTCAGTTGTTTAAGGAAGTAGATTTTATTATTTGATGTCCTAATAAGTTTGATTTTCAGGAACCTTGATCTCTTGATGTTCTATTTTTATGCTCATCAACTTTCTTAGCCACACTATTCCAATTTAGTCATCTCTGCTTGTTGCAACAAAAGATATGTATCTTCAGTAACAAACTCCAGATTCTTTTACTTAATCAAGAATCAAGGAAGGAGGCTTAGTCTCTAAAAAATAAATTGGAATAGCATTTGGAAGACTCATGTCTGGGAAGGAATCAGAGGCAGAGGGCCAACCTTAGTACAATGGGAAAATTTTTTTTTTCTTTCTGTCTCTGTACCTTATGGAGTCTACTGCCACAGGTGAGACATGATATAGTGGCAATAATCCTTATTTAGTTTTCATGGGTTTCACGGGGTTTCCAACTTGCTAATTCTTTGTGACACAGTGTGCTCAGGACAACATAAATAAGAGAACTTATGATGACAGTTTTCAGCATTTCATCTGCCTGTTTACATTACTGCCACCTTGTGGTAGTTATTGTAAAGGTAATCAAAGGTGAGTGAATCAAGGAAATGAGTTTGGGGATTTTCTCTTTCAGACACAGTAATTAACAACACTAAAGCCTTTACCTTTACAGAGTAACTTTTTTTGTGGTGCTGATTGCTGTTACAAAGGGATATAAAACATTTTATGTAGTAGGATGAGTTTCCATGGTAATGTATTATTAAAACATTGAAAAGAACTATTTTTTTGTTTTAATTTTTTGAGAATTGAATACAATATATTTATTTTACTATACTCTTTCATCTTTTACAGCTCATTCTACACCTTCCTTCTCCAGACCCAACAAATTTCATCTTCATTCTTTTTCTTAAAAAACAAGCTAAAACAACAACAAATATAAGTGCTTGTTCTCTGTCTCTGTCTCTCTCTCTGTCTCACACGTACACGCACATATACACGCACACTAAAAAAGTCATTGTGTCTGATTTGTATTAGCTACCAACACTTGAGCATGAAGGCTGACTAGAAGTATGGTTGATATGAACAGAAGAACCTTCTTTTATAAACCAGCTTGCAACAGAATAAATAAAATACACAACTCACTTTTAAAGATCTTGCCAGAAAACAATCAACTTTTAATGGTAAAATTGTTGATTTCTATTTTGGTTAAATTAACTTCTAAAATCATTAAAGTCACATTTTGGAGAAGGAGAAAGAAGAGGAACAGCAAGAGGAGGAGGAGGAGAAAGAAGAAGAGACCTAGAGAAATAATTGGTAGCCACAATTTGCTCTTGATAAAAAGGAACCTGTCAAAAAAAATTTTAAAAAGAATAGAGAAATGTTTTAACAATTAGTGGGAAAACTACAAGGATATCACAGAGGATTTTTCTTCTCCATATCCCATCTGTCAAATCTATAATCCTTGGAATGTTATGAAGAAGAATATAGACACGACAGTTTTAAGGTTTTTAATTATGGCACTTATATACTCTTGACAACATTCTTATTATTATTACCCATTTTCTGGTAAGCTAGGTGTTTTGCCTGTTTATGATTCATTTCATCTGACAATAGTAAAGATATTTTGAGACTTCAAATTTCCCACATTGGGAGTTTTTTTCTAGTAATAAAGGTACCCATTTCACAGTGATAGCAATTGAGGAACTCTATAAAGTTATATTGCTTAGGCAGATGTACTCCTAGCCTCCACCCACACATCCTGCTATGTATGAGTATATATACACAAATACGCAATGAATAAATATAATAAAGGTACTTTAGAAGGTAAGAATGGCCTGGTGGTGGTGACCAATACCTTTAATCCAAGCACTTGGGAAGAACAGGCAGGCAAATCTCTGAGTTTGAGGCCAGCCTGGTCTACAGAGTAAGTCCCAGGACAGCCAGGGCTACACAGAGAAAGCCTGTCTCAGAAAACCAAAATAATAACAGTAATGGCTCCTAAGCTTCTAATATTCAAAATAATCCCTCTCCTTCAATACCATCCGTACTTATGTGTTTTGTCCTAGCTTCTCATTCAAAGTTGATTGCATTCCTCTTCCAAAGCCTCACAAAACATTCCTTCCTTCTTCTTCAAGTTAGAACATTTTTTATTATTTTATTAATTATACTTTATTCACTTTGTATCTCCCCATAAGCCCCTCCCTCCTCCCCTCTCGATTCCACCCTCCCTCCCCTTTCTTCACGCATGCCCCTCCCCAAGTCCACTGATAGGGGAGGTCCTCCTCTCCTTCCTTCTGATCTTAGTCTATCAGTTCTCATCAAAAGTGGCTGCATTGTCCTCTACTGTGGCCTGATAAGGCTGCTCCCCCCTCAGGGGGAAGTGATCAACAAGCAGGCCAATCAGTTCATGTCAGAGGCAGTCCCTCTTCCCATTACTATGGAACCCACTTGGACACTGAACTGCCATGGGCTACACCTGTGCAGGTTAGAACATTTGTTTTAAGTCTTCTCATTCATAGATTTTTTTTTCACTTTTCATTGGTTCTTTGTGAATTTCGCATCACGCACCCCAATCCCACTTAACTCCCCCTCCCCTCATACCTACCCTCCACCCTTACAACCTCCCCCCAACAGAGAAAAATTTCTCATTGTGGAAGCTGTAGTGTGTCACAATGTGTCGCACAGTATACCCTTTTGGCCACACTTCTTTGTTTGCAAATAATCGTTGCAATGACTTGTTGGTCCGGTACTAAGCCTCTGGCCTCTGCTACTCTATCACTACTGGAACCTCAGTGAGACTCCTCTCAGATATCCTGTTGTTGCCCTGTGTCATGGAAGATTTAGGTTTGCGTCTGTGGTGCAGGCTCTTTCATGCACTGCAGCAGTTCATCAAGAGGGTAGATGTTGGTGTGAGCCTATTCAAAGCCTTGGATTTGGGACTGAATACTATCTGAGCATCTGAGCTATTCAGCCTCCTGGCTTCCCTTCTCTCATGCATTTAGGACTGGCTCACCAACAACCCCCACTACCAGGCCCAGCTCTACCCTGCTACCCAGGTGTGGTGCAGGGCCCACTCTTTCAAGTGTTGTAGCCAGTGAGGAACGCGGCTGGCTCTTCCACTCTCATGACCCTGGGGCCAGCTCTCCTGCTTACAGTAGATGGGAAGGGACGAGGGAGGGGAAGGTTTGCTTCTCTCTCATCTGTGTCACCACCTATCAGACAAAGGCAGAGGAGAATCCCCCACACTCACACTCTCAGGCAGGCTCGCCACAAATCCCACATCCATGGCCAGCTCTCCTGCTCTAATGACCCCATGAGCAAGCTTCCCTGCCCACCACTGGTGGCAAAGGCAAAAGGGAAGGGAGGGGATCTCTCCCTCATCAAAATTCACTGTTTAGTAGACAAGAGGCAAGGCCAGCTCTCCCACACTCTTACCTTCAGAGCACATCACCTACAACCCCCACCTCCAGGGCCAGCTCTACTGAGCTGCCTAGGTAAGTTGCAAGGCCTGCTCTCCCAAGTGCTGCAGGAGGACCAGGTCTCTTGCTCTGATGATCTTGGGCCCAGCTCTTCTATTTACCATAGCTGGCAATGGGCATCTCTCCACTGCCCATGTCACCACATGGCAGATAAGTGGTGGAGCCAGCTCTCCTAAACTCACACCCTTAGGGCTGGTTCACCTTTACCCTTGCCACCAGGGTCATCACTACTGTGCTGATCAGTCGAGGTACAGGGCCCACTCTCCAAAGAGATGAAGCTGGTGAGGTTGCAGGATCAATTCTGCTACTCTCATGTCCTCAGGGCAGGCTCTCCAAGTATGGCCGCATGAGGGGTGGGGCCAGTTCTGCACAGTCCTCAGACATCAACATGTCCCCAGGTGGCAGCCTAAACCAGGGATGTCCACCTGGCTTTAAGTGGTAACAAACTCCTGCTATTGTAGGACCACAGACCCAGACATCGCTCCTGGTGCCAGCACAGACCAGGTCTCCACCATGGTCCCACGTAGTATCACAGCTACTCACATCAGATTGTTCCTCAGTACCCTCAAGTCCCCAGTTCCTTCTCTCTTCATTGGTCCACTCCTTCTGTTTCTCTTTCTCTTCGATTTCTTTACCACTGAATTGTTCCTCATAGTGGTGCCCAGGGTCTCTGAGTTTCTGGGGTTGTCTCAGAAGCACTATACTTGGCTTGTGCATTATGGAACAGGGCAAAAGTCATCTCAGGCACGGTCTGCCCTGCCCTCAGGTCTGCATGTCACCCAACTGGTGGTTGTCTCAGGCTAGCTCCTTGTCCAGGCCCCATAGCACTGGTCTGGTGGTCATCTCTTGAGTTTGCTCCTCGTCTGGATAACCCAAGGAGCCCCATGTGAGGGTCCCTCTAGGGCTCACTCTCATCCAGATCCCTCAAGTCCCAGGTGGGGTTTTTCTTGTATCAGCCTTGCTCCAGGTCCTAGGAGCCATCTGGGCCTGTGTAGTGCCTGGTTCAGGAACCTGGTTGTCTCTGGTTTGCTTTTTTCAGGGAATGTTAGGCTACTAATAAATATTTATCAGTCAGAACACTGAGCATAGACATAACCTCTCTCCTCTCTGCTACCTACCAATGCACATGTGATACAGCAGCCACATCTGCAAAGCTCCTAGGGGCAGGATAATTCTTTATAATAAAGGTATTTTCTGGTAATGTACAGGTTGGTTTTTTTCTACATCTTCCAATAAGCTTTTAATAATACTTATTCACTAAGTCCCAGAAACTTCAGCAATGGTCATGGGGCTTCTAGATTGGTCATGGGGTATTTTCTGTTCTCAAAACACCCACTACCTTAGGCCTTAATTATTCCATAATCCTTCACGTTCTACCACCTTTCTGAGAGTTAATGTTTGCATTCTAAGATAGACCTAAGGCAGGACTTCTTTGGTGCTCACTAGTGAAGTACCTTGTATAATTCCTACATACTATCACAAGTACTATATGTCTTGCACAATCATTTCATTATAACAAACAATCCAAAGCAGGTATCCTTGGTATCTCCACTTTTATAGTTATGGTAGTTTAAGTACTTTAATTTTTTCCATGTATTTATTTTTCATAATTATTTTATTTTTATTAATAAAAAGTCTTGCATATCAGTTGGATCTCAAAGATGCTGTGTAACCCAGGTTAATCATTATCTTCTGATCTTACTTTTTCTTTTTTTTTAATTCTTTATTAATTACATTTATTCACTTTGTATCCTCCCTATGGATCCCTCCCTCCTCCTGTCCCAATATGTCCCTTCCTTCCCCCTCTGCGCGCATGTCCCTCCCCAAGTCCACTGATAGGGGAGGTCTTCTTTTCCTTCCTTCTGACCCTAGTCAATTAGGTCTCATCAGGAGTGGCTGCATTGTCTTCTTCTGTGGCCTGGTAGTCTCCACTCAAGGGGAGGTGATTAAAGAGCAGGCCAATCAGTTCATGTCAGAGACAATCCCTGTTCCTATTACTATGGAACCCACTTGGATACTGAACTGCCATGGGCTACATCTGTGCAGGGGTCTTAGGTTATCTCCATGCATGGTCCTTGGTTGGAGTATCAGTCTCAAAAAAGACCCATGTGCTCAGATTTTTTGGTTCTGTTGCTCTCCTTGTGGAGTTCCTGTCCTCTCCAGATCTTACTGTTTCCCACTTCTTTCCTAAGATTCCCTGCACTCTACCCAAGGTTGGCCATACGTCTCAGCATCTGCTTGGATAGTCTGCAGGGCAGAGCCTTTAAAAGGTCCTCTGTGTCAGGCTTCTCACTTGTTCCCTCTTTTCTCCTTCTTCTGATGTCCATCCTCTTTGCCTTTCTGGATAGGTATTGAGCATTTTATCAAGAGTCCTCCCTCTTGGTTAGTTTCTTTAAGTGTAAAGATTTTAGTAGGTTTATCCTATATTATATGTCTATATGAGTGAGTACATACTGTGTGTGTCTTTCTGCTTCTGGGATATCATGTATTTAATTTTTAATTAATTAGTTAGTTAGTTTATTTATTTAGTTATTACTGTTTATTCCCTTTGTATCCCTGCTGTAGCTCCTTCCCTTATCTCCTCCAGGTCCCGCCCTCCCTCCCTTTTCTCCCCCTATACCCCTCCCCTAGTCCACTGATAAGGGAGGTCCTTCTCCCCTTCCAACTGATCCTAGCCTATCACATCTCATCAGGACTTGCTTCATTGTCTTCCTCTGTGGACTGGTAAAGCTGCCTCCCCCCAGGAGGCAAAGACTCCTGATCAAAGACTCAGCCACTGAGTCAGTATCAGAGACAGCAAATGCTCTCCTTACTAGGGATCCCACTTGGAAACTGAGCTGCCTACATCTGAGCAGGAGTTGTAGGTCCTCTCTATGCATGGTTCTTTGTTGGAGCATCTGTCTCTGCAGGACCCCATGGGCTCTGATTTTTTGGTTCTGTTTTTCTCTTTGTGGAGCTCCTGTCCCCTACAGGTCTTTTTATCTCCCCCCTTTTCACAAGAGTCTTTGCACACTGTCCAAGGTTTGGCTATGAAACCCAACAACCACCTTGGAAATCAATCTGGTGCTTACTCAGAAAATTAGGAATAGTGCTACCTCAAGATCCAGCTGTCCCACTCCTAGGCATATATCCAAAAAATGATCAACAATACAAAATGGACATTTGTACAACTGTGTTCATAGCAGCTTTACTCATAACAGCAAGAATCTAAAAACAACCTAGATGTTCCTCAATGGAAGAATGGATACAGACACTGTGGTACAGTATACAATGGAATACTACTCAGCAATTAAAAACTAGGAAATCATGAAATTTGCAGGCAAATGGATGGAACTAGAAAAGATTATCCTGAGTGAGGTCACCCAGAAGCAGAAAGACACACAAGGTATTTACTCATAAGTAGATATTAGCTGTAGAATATAGGATAAACATAAACTAAAATCTGTAGTCCTAAAGAAGCAAAATAACAAGGAAGACCCTAGGAAAGATGCTTAATCGTTGTTCAGAAGGGAAAACAATATAAACATCTGAAACAAGAGAAGACAGGGAACAGGGCAGGAATGTAACATAAGGGACCTCTGAAACAATCTACCCAGCAGGATATTGAAACAAGTACTTTAATTTTTCAAGTGTTATAGATCAAGTGTAAGGTCTTGTACATCATGTCAAATGCTGTACCACTAAGCTGTAGCCCTGTTAATTATTCAGTCTTTTAACACAACTATTACTTATAGTAAGATTCTATAGTTTTATTTTGGAAATAAGCAGTTGTTATTGGCAGATGGTCATTATACATAGTAATGGAGTTCTTAAAGATATTATCATATAACTATATCGATATTTTCTTTTTATTTTTTATTCTCTTAACATCCTTGTTGTAGCCCCATCCCTCCTCCCCTCCCAGGTCCACCTTCCTTCCCTTCCTTGTCTCCTTTTTCTTATGAAAGGGGAGCTCCAGCACATCCAACCCAGCACATCAAGTTGATCAGAACTGAGCATGTCCTCTTCTTTTATGGCCTGGCAAGGTAGTCCCGCCACAGAAAAGTGATAAAAATGTTGGCAAGTAAGTCCATGTCAAATGAAGTCCCCACTTCCCTTACTAGAGAACCGAGATGAGGCCTAAACTGTCATCTGCTACATCTGGGTGTAGGCCCAGTTCCCTCATGGTCCTTGGTTGAGTCTTCAGTCTCAGCAAGCTCTGTGGACCCTGGTTAGTAAGCTCTTTTGGTCTTCTTGTGGAACTCCTGTCACCTGCAGGTTCTTTTCTCTTTTCTCCTTCTTTTCCACAAGACTCCCTATGAATTACCCAATGTTTGGCTGTGAGTCTCCACATCTGTTTTCAGGCCCTGCTAAGTAGAGTTTAGCAGAGCTTTGTTCATAGTGTTAGGGGATGGCACTTTCCCATAGGTTGGGTCTTTGGTTGGAGCAGGCATTGGTTAGGCACTCTCTCAACCTCTGCTCTATTTGCTATATCTTTGTCCCTGCATTTCTTTAGGCAGGGTAACTTTGGGGTTGAAGTTTTCTGGGTGGGTTCGTGTTCCCCTCCCTCTGCGAGAAGACTAGTCTAGTTAGTGGGTGTCCTCTTCAGTCTCTATGGCCTCTGCTACCGGGAATCTCTGCTTGAGTCCCCCTCATATCCTCCCAGGAGCCTACACTGACACAGGTCTCCAACTTGTCACAGAGATACCCTCGCTCTTAGTTTCTCTTTTCTCTAGAGTCCTTCTGTTCCTTCACCTTTGCTCTCCCCAAGTCTGTTCTTTACCCTCTTAACTCTGCGCTCCTTCCTACATTGCTCTCTCTCTTCAGCCTCTGTCTACACTAGCTCCTTTTGTGAGTGAGATGTATGCATCCCCACTTGGATCCTATATGTTACTTATCTTCTTTATGTCTGTGCCCGGTAGTATGTTTATCCTGTACTATATAGCTAAAATACACTGATAAGTGAGTACATACCTTGTGTGTCTATCTGGGTCTGGGTTACCTCACTTAGAATGATCTCTTCTAGTTTCATCCATTTGCCTGCTTTCTAGTTCCATCCATTTATGATGATTTCTTTGTTTTTAATAGCTGAGTAGTATTCCATTGTGAATATTTGCCGCAATTTCTTTATCTATTCTTCCACTGAGGGACATCTAGGTTGTTTCCAGATTCTGGCTATTGTGAATAAGGAATTATGAGCATAGTTGAGTAAGTGTGCTTGTTGGATCATAGAGCATCTTTTAGGTATATACACAAGAGAAGTATAGCTGGCTCTTGAGGTAAAGCTAGTCCCAATTTTCTTAGAAAGTGCCAGATTGTTTTCCAAAGTGGTTGTAAAAGTTTACATTCCCACCTGCCAATGGAGCAGGATTCCCCTTTCTTCACATCCGCTCCACTATGTGCTGTCACTTGAGATTTTTATCTTAGCCATTCTGATGGGTGTGAGATGGAATCTCAGAGTTGTCTTGATTCACATTTCCCTGATGACTAGAGAAGTTGAGTATTTCTTTAATTGTTTCTCCACCATTCGAGAGATTCCTCTGTTGAGAATTATGTGTTTAGTTGTGTGGCCCATTTTTAATTGAGTTATTTTGTTTATTGCTGTTTGATTTTTGAGTTCATTACATATTTTGGATATTAGCCCTTTATCAGTTGTAGGATTGGTGAAGATATTTTCCCAATCTGTAGGTTTGGGTCCTGTCACCATCATCAAAACAAAATGACTGCCTACAGATTGGGAAAGAATCTTCACCAACCCTTTATCTGACAGAAGACTCATATCCAGTATATACAAAGAACTAAAGAAGCTGAAAAGCAGCAAACCAAGTAATCCAATTAAAAAATGGGGAACAGAGCTAAACAAAGAATTCTCGACAGAGGAATATTGAATGGCAGAGAAACAAATAAATGCTCAACCTCATTAGCCATTAGGGAAATGCAAATCAAAACGACCCTGAGATTTCACCTTATACCCATCAGAATGGCCAAGATGAAAAACTCAAGTGACAACACATGCTGGAGAGGTTGTGGAGAAAGGGGAACCCTTCTCCACTGCTGGTGGGAATGTAAACTGATACAACCACTTTGGAAGTCTATCTGGCACATTCTCAAACAATTAGAAATAGTGCTTCCTCAAGACCCAGCTATATCACTGCTAGGTATATACACAAAATTTGCTCAAGTACATAA